GGTGTTTACCGGGCCCTGAGCCTGTGCGCGCCGACTCCGCGGCTCTGTGGGACCCGGAGGGCGGGGGGACACCTACGCGGGAAAGGACGCAGATGCTGCTGAGCTCCCTGGAGGCCAGAGCTGGAGCGAAAAAGGTCGGCAGAGGGCGAACTAGGGACACGCCTTCCCACGTCCCTTCCCCCAGCCTACTACAGAATCGAACGGCCTAGCTACCAGAACCTCAAACGGGGTCCCTGTGCCCGCCCCGGGATCCCCGAAGGCCTCCTCCATCCGGCGCCTGGCTCCCGCTCGGGGGAGGGGGTTAAGGGGCTGCTCCGCCTCCCTCCCGCAGAGGAAGGGAGTGCCTCCTTAAGCCGGGTTTGCCCGGGATACCCTGCTCCCAGCGCCCTCTGTCTCCGCAAGGGACGTCCCGTGCTTGCCACCCGCTGCCCTGGGGGACCTTCTTTCCAGCAACAGCCGGGAGCCCTGTGGAGAGACTGCGGCCTCTGAGCCGAGGAGCAGGATCCTAGATCCCAGGAGGTAGACTAACGCAGCCCCAGAGGCCTGGGCAACGCATCTGCCAGGCAGATGGTAACTCCAAGGGGGCAAGGTGCGTGAGAAACGCTCGTTATCCTCACCCGGAGCCAGCAGCACCTGGTTTCCCCCGGGGAACCAGCGCCCCTTGGCAAAGCCAGCGTAAGGTCGTGCAAGCCTGCTTGAAGCCAGGCGAAGAAAATCTAGATCACCTGCCCCAACTTGCTGCCCAGCAGGGGTCCCATCAACACGGAAGGGGATATCAGGTGCACCCATCCCTCCATCTAGAACTCTGAGTGGGTGGGGGAGGAGGCCATGGGGGTGCTGTTTAGTGGGGTACCATCTGGTTGAGGGGCTGCATGTGAAGGGCCGACCTACCACCCTCCCCAAAGTGTGTTAAGATGTAGGTTGGCTTCCAGAGGCCAACCTCTTAGTGGAGAGAAAAGGAAAGGACTGAGAGATGCAGGCAGTGACCTTTGGATGTGGACCTGAGTTTGAATCCCAGCCCTGTCTCTTGCTAGCCATAAGACATTGGGCCGGGCATCGCCTGTAGTCTCGGCTGTAAAATGGGGCACGTGGCTAACCAGCTCGGGATAGTTAGGAGGGAAAAAAATGAAACGAGGCTTCTGGTGGCTGGCAGAGAGTGATGTGCAATCCACATGTGAGAAGCCACTTAGGAAGCGTGGCAACGCCTTTGCTCATCCGAATTTCTGAGCCATCTGAGCAAGGAGGATCCACAGAGATTACCTCGTTCAGCCCTGTAATTTACACGTGGGGACTGGAACCGCAGGAGGACCGGAACTACCCCAAATCCCACAGTTTGTGCCTGGCAGGGACAGGAATCCAGGCTGCCTCTGTGCCACTCCACAAGCCGCCTGTCCCTGTTCATTAGGGCACTACTTGGGTGTCTGCTTTGAGCTTAGCTTTGAGGCCAAGAGCTGAGAGAGAAAGCAAAAGCATAACAAGCAGGATGATAGAGTTACAAGAAGCTTTTACACTTGTATTATGCTTTCTATTTTTCCCCCAAAGCATTTTTCACATCCCTTATTGACCTTGCTTCTCAAAATAAATACCTTTTGAGCTGGAGGAGAGGTTGCATCCTAGTTTAACTGATGTAGCAGAAAGCACATAAATGACTTGCCCAAGGTCAGGGCTAATGAGGGAGCCTCCAGAAGCAGCTCTTCCCATCTGTGAGCTCAGGTTCCAGGAGGGGAATCCCTGCAGTGGTGACAGCATGCTAGGACCACCCCACTCAACCCACACGCACCCACTGATTCCTGGCTGCCGAGGAGCACAGAGCAATTTACCTGTCAAGCACTTGCCATGGTCCCAGTGCATGTAAGACAAGCACAGCAGACAAGCAGAGAGACAGGGCTGGGAGAGTGACACAAGAAAGCGAGGATAAGCCCCAGCTGTCCTTCTGTTTACTTCGCCTTGTCCAAAAAAGGTTGAAGGAGGCAGCATCCCACCTCCTAACTCAGTATCCTCTCCTGGCACATGGTCCTTAACAGTTTGAAAAGTGTCTCTCTGGCACTTATTTCCTGAAGAGTCAGCCGTCAGAAGTGGGCAGGCCTGAGACCATCGGGGCCCATTTTACAGATGCGGTGGTTGAAGGTTGGATGATATCTCTAAGGTCACAAAGAAGTGCTGCATGGGAAAATGTGAGTCAGCGTGGCAGCTGTCCACCTTTTCCCCTTTCAACTGTCGTCCTTACAGAGCCTCACTCAGGCTGTCTTCCAGCCTTTGGCGGGACTTCTCTCTACCCTGAGTCCACATATGCTCTGGGACCTCCTTCCTACCTTCCTCTCCCCACTGCAGAGCCCTGGGGCTGAGCTGAAGATGCCAGATCCAGCTGAAGGAATGGCCCAGGGAGGGCAGGATTGAAGGCCACCCTCCCTGGTGCCTCACAAGGAAGCCTGGCAGCGTGTGCCCTGGGCAGCAGGGCATGGCGAAGGTCACTGGGACAGTGAAGCTCTCACCGGTGCTCTGCCTGCCTCTGTGATCCTTCTGTCTGTGCCTCCATTTCCTCTCCTAGCAGACGGAGATAGTAATTGTTCCTGCTCGGTGATTTATTGTGGAGAAGGCGATTATCTGTGTATCATGCCCCACATATAGCAACTTCTCCATACATGTAGTTGTTATTATTAACTATTGACTTTCTTTGTGGCTTTTAATAAACTGCTTCTCGCCTCTAGGCCTGACTCTACATCATCAAATTAGAAACTTGGAGATCATACCTTTTTAAATTCTCCCAAATCGAAGACAGATTTAAAATAAAACTACCTCTTGAAGCAAAAGGGGGAGGGGTAGAGCCTTACTTCCTGGCTTCACCCTCAAATTTTGTCTAAAACTCCTTCACCATACCCCAGGACTCTGGCATTAAGAACCATAGGCCTAGACCATCACCACAGACTGAACACAGATATTGCAGGACCCAAAATATGTATCTGAAGTCCCCCTGTGTCCTGGGCTCTTCTCTAGAGCTGGAAGGAGACAGGGAAAACTGGCCCAGCAGGGCCCAGCATAGAATAGGTATCTTTGCTCCCACCTCCCTTCCTGTTGAGATGGGAAACAGAGGCACAGACAGTAGCCTCAGACAGTGGTGTCAATATTTAGGGAAAGCTATGGCTGTTGGACATCCCAGCCCCAGGAATGCATTGGCTGGCAGGCCAAGCCCAGGCTCCACATGGATGGGGTGCTGGGAGTACCAAGCCTGGCCAGGGCTGGCCCAGACCCTAAAGAGTCCTTGGGGAAAACCAGGATACAGCGCCAGGTCAGTGGCCAGCTGGTCACCTCCAGAGAGGCTAAGTGACCACCTGGCAGGAATGATCAACCAGAGCCAAAGTAGGATAAAACCAACTGGCACCACCGCCCCTCTCTGCTCAGCGACTGGAACTCAAGCAAAGCTCCCTCCTGGAAAAGCAGGGCCTCTGCCCTTCACCCCCTGCTCCACAGCGCACACGCTGCTGCAGTGTCCACAGCAGTGAGGACCCGCTCCACTCACTGCAGCCTGTGAGTCACGCCTGTCCCTAAGCCAACTCGAGTGGTGCTTGCTCTTCCTCATGAGGACCTTTTCTCCAAATGAGATCTCACAGTGAAACTCAGTAGGTGAAAGGTGACACATGCGGTGTGAAGGCTCTGGGGACTTGGGACCCCTCCCTCTTGGTTTCTCTGCCCACCCCCAGGTTGTGACCAAAGAATTGCCAAAGTTCTTGGGGAAACTGAGGCCCCAACAGGGAAAGGTGGTACACACGTCTCTCGACTCCCAGTCCTAAGACTGTGTACCCTGTAATACTTGGAACAGCATGTGAGAAGGAGTGGAGGTCCAGCAGTGCATAATTTATCATAACATGGACTTTTATTAGGATATGTTATATATTTTGTTTAATAATGACACAGTATATTTCTGTAAAAATAAAATAGAAAGATCACAAAGTCATTTTTCCAAGTTTTTCTTAAACATGCATCTCCCAGGCTTCTCTGGAAAACTTAAGAAATAGTGAAGACAAGCAGGAGACTTGTCAAATCTTGCCAGGTCATGAAAGGTGCCCCCACTATTTCATATGTGAGAAGCACTGGGGGACAACAGCTTGCCAGCCCTGGGCTTAGAAACTCCATGGGAGAAACTGAGGCACTGGTGGGAGGTATCAGGGCTGGGTACCCCAGAAAGCTCCTAGTGCCTTCCAGGCAGACAGCCCTGACATTATGACACTTGTGCACCGTGAGAGGGTCCCCAACCCCCAGGGACAGGCTGGGTGAAAGTTTAGCTCTGAAAGACAAATGGTGAAACTGAGGCCCAGGAGGCATGGAAACATGGTCTGACTCCAAAACCAAGCTCTGAGAGCCTCTCATAGCCTATAGGGTTTCTCCTGTCTGGGATTCCAAGGGGCCTGTGGTCCCTCTCATTAAAGAGCACCCACTTCCAAAGCAATCAGCAGACCAAAAAAGCTGCTAGAAGGGACAAAGGAGAAACTAATTCCACCCAGCTCAGATGGACAGCCCCCTCCTCTGATCCCAAACCCGACACCTCCTAATGGCCACGAGAGCTACCTAAACCCTAGGATCTGGCCTGCTGCTCTACACAAAACCACACAGCCAGTGAGACTCAGCAAGTCCCATCCTGAGGCCAAGCTCTCTGCTGTTGGGTGACAGTGCCCCCCAGAGGACACGAGCAGTCAGGAAAGCAGGGACAAGCCTCTTTCTGTGCCCCAGCCCAGCCACACAGAGCAAGAGGTATGGACTAGATTGCTCAAACTCATCATAGGCTGAGGGTCCCTTGGGAAATCTCATGAAAGCAGCAATTCTCCTTCCCCAGCCAGAATACTGTTGTGGCTACAACTTCTGGGCGGACCCTAGACATGGCATTATCGACTCTCCCACCAGTGTGTCTGTAAGCCCAGAGACAGCAGAACAAGCTGAAGAGGCCCCCAGATCTACGGGGAGACCTCAAGAAAGAAACAGCTGGAACCCCCACCAAGAAGGCAGATTGGGGGCCTGCCCATTAGCTCAGTTGTTTAAGTGCCTGCTTAAGCAAGCCAGCAAAAAAAAGTCCTGAACTTTTTATGGGCTGGGGAGATAGCTCAGTAGAATAAGCACTTGCCTGGCAAGCATAAGGTCCTGAGTTCAATCCCCGGTACAAAAAAAAAAAAAAAAAAAAAAAAGGTTGTGCATAACTCTGGACCCTTCCGTTCCCAGCTCTTTCCTGGAGCATCTTCCCACCATGGATGTGGTGTGGATGTCCAAATGACCTCCACAGAGGTGGAGTGGGTGTTTTCCAGCGTGTGTTGCACCCCAGACCAGACGATAAGCTGCCCATGTGCAGATAGAGCCATCAAGGGCGGCTAAAGCTGCATAGAGGCATAAGTCCAGTGCCGGTGAATCCAAGAACTGCGTTCAATGCCAGCTCCAACGTCCTCCTACCTGTGTGGCCCTGAGGTAGTCACCGTTCTCTGCTATAAAACAAGGGATCAGCTTCAAAGAGAGTCTAAGGCTGGGACTTGAGTAAGGCCGAGAGCCAGCAGCACACCATGGGTGCTCCCCACCCTCAGGCCCTGGGGCACACAGGCGTGGGCAGAGGCCCTTTGTTCCTAGGAAGTGCACTTCCTATGTAAATAGAGCAGAAAGCAGAGAAGCAGCCACTGCATGGTCATGCATGGTGACAGAGGGCCACCTGGTTGGAGATGGGTCTGAGCACAGCAGTAGAGGTACAGAAAGACTGATTCACAGAAACAGAAACAGGGTCCTAACTCGGATCTGAAGAACCCCTTCCACATGGTCAGAGGCAAGAGACAGACAGGGAAGGAGAGGGACAGGATGGCCTTGTAACACAAGGGAGAAGGAAAGGAAGCCAGGAGGAAGCAGAAAGGGGGAGTGAGAGGGCAGAGAGAGAGAAGCTGGAAGCCTGAGAGAAAGGGCAGAAGGCAGGGACAGCACAGCGAGGATGACAGCAAGGACAGAGCCAGGCTGGGAGAAGTAGAAGTTCTCTCAGAGAAAAATCAACACCTAAACTCTGACATGCAGTTTTCCCCAAGCATCCCTCCCCAGTGTGAAGTCATTTGCGTATTTTAAGAATGTGCAGTGCATTATGCATATCACGTTTTTGTTGAAAGGAATCATGGTTAGTATATTTAAAGATGTGAATGCCTGGGAAATTACAGAGGAGGAAATGTGGGGTTGTTTCCTACCCCCTACCCCATTATCTGAGTTTCTCAAAATCTTTACATCTGCAGCCAGCCAGCTCCCTGGTAAGTTGGGCAGAGGTTTCAGGAGGAAAGTGGAGAGAGGATTTCTGTTTCACCCTTTCCAGTAGTGCCAAGCTGGTGCCAGGAGCAGCAGCCCAGGCTCCTTCCCAGACGCTTGCCTCAGGTTTCTAAGCCCTGGTCCACACACTGGAGGGAAGAGAGAAAAACGCAGGGGCTCTAGGTGCACAGCCTCAGTTTCTCCTCCAAGGCCACCAACTGCTTCAACTATGGGTGCATAGCGCCATCTGGGGGTCATAGTGGGGACCGCAGCATAGGAGGCAGCGTGGGAGCTCAAGTCGTGGCGCTGGGGAGAAGAGGTCTTGAAGCCAGAAGGGGACCCATCTGTTGCAAACGTTAAGTGCAGCACCTCCCCAAGGGACACCTTAAGAGGGAAAACTGAGGGCATGGGGCCTGCGGTTATGGTAACTCTGGCATTAAGATGATCTCAATCTTGCCTCCTGGCCTAGGAAACATCCAGGTTACAGATGCCAGGTGCCTGGAACAGTAAATGTTGGTTTGATTCAGCTGGGGGCCACCGTCGTCACAGCCCAATGTTAGAGGAATCTGGCTTTGAGGGCCCTGAGGTGACGTGATGGCTCTGGCAGGGCAAAGAGCAAGAGATGCAGAGCCTCTGCCACCTGCTCGGCCCCTCTGGGCCACGCCTGCTTGTGTCACCGGCTCAGCCTCGCCTGCCCCAGCTCAGGAAAGGGAAATGCCAAGTCCCTTGGCTGGCATCTGGAAAACAATAAGGCAGCTGCAGGGAAGTGACTAATGAGCACTTTGGGGAGCAATTCGGGACATCATGCATGGAAACTTCTCTCATTCAAAATTGACAAGTTACCGCTATCTAATTAGAGGGAATGTGCTGAGCTCCCCGGCTCACTGGGAGGGCGGTGGGCACAGCTTCCCTGAGGAGGAAGGAGCATCCCTCATCTCCAGACCTGCAGCCCCAGTGGAGGGGCTCTACACACCCTCTGCTTCCCTCAGCCCCTCTCCGTCTTGTGAATATGCAGAAGGTCTGAGCTGAACAGAGCCTTGGAGAGCTTCTAATCCAACTAGCTTATTTTATAGGCAGAACGCAGGCCCAACGAGGTCAGATCTCTGGATTAAGCTAACAAAGCAACGGAACCAGGATTAAGGGATAGCCAGTCTTCGTGCTCCTGGCCCAGGCTGTTTGTCAACACCAACGGCATTGCCCCGACCTCCCTGTGTGGAGTCCTAGAAGCTTGGACAAGCTGCCTGTCACAGTGTCCCTCCCGCACAACTCATCTCTCTGGGCAGCCAACCCCTCAAGGCCCTCCCCTCACTCTCTCCAGCCAGGTCATGGCCCTCCTCTGCGGACCAAACCCCGACTCCTCCAGGCAGTCCTCCTAGATCCCTTCCACTACCCACTGTCTCATTCACTCCACAGACATTACTGGGTGTGAGCTTGGACTCCAGAGTAGGATGGCCTGGGTTTTAATTCTTTTCTTCTCATGTGGTTGGGCCAAACACTTGACCTCTCTGGGTTACGGGTTTTTTTTTTTTTTTTAGGAACCGGGGCTTGAACTCAGACAGTTTTCTTTTATTAAAAGTAAGAATAATATAAACACCCGCCAGGAAGATGAGAGGGGAATCATGCACAACTCTCATCTGGTCCTCTAGAAACAAAATGATGTATTTTGGAACCTGAACCACAGTGGCTTAGAGCAGGAATAAAGGCAAGAGGTTGTATTTTGGAATCTCAGGGGAGACATACCCACCCAAGGGTAGACAGGATCCTGGAAGCTTTTGGAGGTAGCACTTGCAGCCATTTACAGAGGGAATGGATGTTAGCCAGGTGAGGAAATGACCAGGACTACAGAAGTAGGATCAGCATGCACCAAGGCAAAGGACAGTGAGACATGTTTAAGAAAATTCAACAGTTCAGTGTCAGCCAGGCATGGTGTTACACCCCTGTGATCCCAGTATTTGGGAAGCTGAGGCAGGAGGATGTCACAGGTCAGCCTGGACTACACACTGAGTTCGAGGCCAGCCCAAACTGGTAAGACCCTGTCCCCCTAAAAGCCAGTGTAGTGTAGTTGTCTCGTTTTGTTTTTTGATTTTTTTTTTTTTTTTTTTTTTTTGCGGAACCAGGGATTGAACTCAGGCCCTTACGCTTGCCAGGGAAGTGCTTATTCCACTGAGCCATCTCCCCAGCCTTACTTTAGTGTTACTGGAATCAAGAGGGACACAGGGATGTTAGGCTGGGAGAGGTGGCTGGGCTGGGTCATACAAGGCTTCACAAGCCACAGGAGAGCCAGGCAATGTCCTGTGCCTGGCGGGGAGTTTGGGGTGAGCTTTAAACTAAGAAGGCACATGGTTAGTTTGCTGGTTCAAGAACTTTCTAGACTCTAAGGGGTAGGTTTTCTCTGCTTGGCCCACCCTCCGCAATGACAGGCTGCCTACCACTGTAGCAAGGGTAAGAGATAGAAGCCTGTGGAGGTGACTGCTCAAGGGGGTAGTCCTCGTGGGAGTGGGCTCCTGGTAGTGGGTGAGTCTGGCTGGATCCCAGGGGTCTTCGAGGCACTTTCTCATACTATAATGTTCTGGCTACATTGGTGAGGCAGCAAAAATGCCTTGCCCGATGCAAAAGCCTTGCTCCCAGGCTTCCCCGCTGGCGCATCTGTTTGTCATAAATTATCCAGTCTCGGGCTTTCTGTTACAGCAGCAGGAAACAGACTAAGACAGAAAGCCCCCAGCTATCACATTCTGTAAACCCTCCAAGGCGGCTCGAGGCCAGGGCCTGTGGGGTCGGGTTCTGTACTCAGCTAGTCTCTTTTTACAGTCTAGGATCATACTTATAAAAGGCATCTGAGATAAATCTACTTAGTCCCCTGATGTCATCTGCTCTCCAAATTTTCCAGTAGAAATCTAAATAAATTAAGATTCTGAAGACGGCCTTCCAGCCCCCGCTCCGCAGGATCTGCTGGGGGAGTGATTGGTGGTTCTAGAGGCGCTGATTGGCTTGTAAACTGCTGTTATGGTAATACAGTTGGTCCTCTAAATCCGTGGGCTCTGCACCTGTGCATTAACCAACTGCAATCAAAAGTATTCAGGAAAAAAACTGAACATGTATATATTTTTTCTTGCCATTCCACGAACAGCGCAGCATAAGAACTACTTATATAGTATTTACCTTATGTTAGATATTATAAGTAACCTAGAGATGATTTAGCACACGGGACACAGGCTATAAGCACATACCAGGCCATTTCATCTGAGGGTCTTGAGCATGGGGGTCCTGGAAATGACCCCCATGATACTGACGGGTGCCTGGCTGGACTCAGCAGCCTCACAGACTATCCTCTCAGGCACAATGTGGCCAAAATCAAGACCCTGGGCTGCAGTCAGACTGTAAAGGGTTTACGTAATTTTGTGCTTTAACTGTGAAAAATTATTTTTAAAACCTTGTGCTTCCTATTATCTACTGTAAAAAAATATATTCTCCCTCTCAGTTCAAGGCTGTTTAACAAATGTTTCTTGTCAAGAAAAGCTCAAACTCCCTCCCTAACCATCTCCTGTAATGTGGTCAGCTTAAGATATATCTTACAAAAATATACACTTATCACTAAACTGTAAAAGACACTTTAGTCACAAAGTTTGCAGCTATGTCAAATCAATGTAGTTTTGTTGCTCTGTGCTAGATAACAAATTTGCTTACCAAACTAGATGTGACTTCTGTCATAAATACCCCCTGCTACCTACATTCGATTACTGATCAGCCTTCTCCTGTGAGAAGTGGCTGACGGACCTGAGCTCAGTAAATAAAACTCTATCCAAATTTCTATCTGGCTGATCTGGTTCCTATGCTGAGTGACCCATAACAAGACCTTGGCAGGCTTGGCCTTTCTTTCTGGTTTTGCTGTAAGTATTCAGGAAAATAAAGAAAAATAAAGCACATTATCATTCCTGTCTGTGCCTACCTCAGCTTACTGACTGACCACTGGGCTGCCTTAGACCCATAGTTCACAACGGTCCCAGTCAGCTCGATACCAGCTCTGTACTCCTCTTGTAGCTCCAGCCCACCCCAACCTCAATTCCACATATTAGCAATGTGCAATGAGGCTCCTAAAAGGTAGGTGGGAACTGCCAAGGGTGACAGCTACAGCCAGTACCAGCTCCAGAGAGGCCAGCACCAAGCAAGAACCTCAAATGCCCAGTCTGGGCACGGCTGGGACTGTGTGCTGTTGGCTCCCACAGCAGGGGCGGAGCCATATGGGCGTGGCATGAGATAAGGAACAAAGCCTGCTTGGACTGGCACCAGGCTGGGTAGCAGGCAGCCTTCCCTTCTGCCTAATCTCCCTGATCAGCTTTACTAACTTCACATCAAGGGCTCAACTCTGATACCCCATAAATCCCTCCTGAGAACCCCACTGAGAGTTGGATCCCCATAGAAGGAGTGCAGTAAGGACAGGGGAGAGGGCGGATGTCCTCAGGGCGTCCAGAAGTCATTCCTTTCAGGGCCCTCATATCTCACTGCATCACACAGCACTACAAGTGGAGTCGAATTTGTGCCCATTCCTTCCATGTGGCTATCGTGAAGGAATCAGTGTGGCGAAAGGTGTTCCTGCTGACAGCGTGACAGGGAGCAGCTTGGGGCTTGGGCTGGAAGCCATCACATCAGCCCTGTGCTTTGGGCCAGGGAACTTCCCTCTTGGGGGATATTTCATCTGTAGAGTGGGACACTAGGGCTCAGCTGGCAGGCCTGTAAAAGGAAACACTACTGCAAGCAAAGCAGCCATTGGTACACCACCAGGTACTCACTGAATGCTAGTTTCCCCCTCTCTGTGCCCAAGTATCCCCCCTGGCCGAGTCTCCCAGCAGATAGACCCTTGCTGCTCTGGTGGCCAGAACATCAACAGATGCCTTCGTCTGTGTTAGCTAGGCCAGGAGAAGCCACAGACTGTCTTCAGCAGTCCTCTAAGGCTCAGCAGACTCTTCCCACACTGACAAGCCCTGGGGCCTCACCACTATCCAGCTGCACCCCAACTTGGGGAAACCAAAACACCTCACAGCCAAGAAAACACAGAGGCCTCCTCGTCTCCAGTTCTCACTCCATCATGGCAGGGATTCAGTCCCAGCTAGGGAAGCCTCTGTTTAGGCTCTCTTGTGAACAAAGCAACAGGTCAGCACATGGTTGCAAGATGTTTAATTTGTGCTGTGCACACTGGACACTCATGATCCTAGTGTCAGCCCCTGAGAGTAACCCATCCCCACAGAGAAGGATGCAGGGTGAACGTTCAAGGACAGGGAGGGACAGTAAAAGAGCTGTTTTTGGCTACTCAGAGGTGAAGGACGCTCCCCAACTTCTCTTGCACTCACAGGCTCAACAGGGACAAGCGAGGGGTGAGGGGGATGGGGCAGGAAATGTGACTGCACCCCTGGGATGTTACCTCTGCCACAGGCCAGGGACAGGGAGCAGCTCTGATGAGCTGGGTGCTCTAGGTGCCAGCTGGCTACTTTTCCTTGGTGAAAGCGAGCAAAGAAGATAGGAGAGCCAGGAGGCCAGCTCAGCAATGTCCTTGTCACTTCCTCCAGGTCAGCTTCCTGGCTCATCTTCCAGCTGGGAAAGCTGCACTGCCTCAGGGCCCTGCAAGCTGCATGAGAGGGCCAAGGTGTGCTCTCTGGAGGACCTTCACAGGTCAGAGGGGACACCAGCAGGGCGACCTGACAAATCACCAGAGACCCCCTCCTGTCCTGCTGTTCCATGGCCCACTTTCTGGCAGAGGCAGAAGGGCTGACCTCACTTCCTCTGTCCTGTTCTACATGTGCACACATTTAGAAGGCAGGCAGTTGAGGAGAAAGAGACACAGGTGATTTGCCCAGCCTGACAATTTTGAAGAAAGACCTTCTCCCCAGGTGGAAGCAAAGGAAGAAAAGCTACAGAAGGGCATCCCACAGGCAGCTGTGTGGGGCCTCAAGAGCCTGTTTTCCTCCCCAGATCTGCAGGGAGTCACATCCCCAGCAAGGTCCAGGAGAGCGTTGTTGCTCAGGCAATGTGGTCCTTCTGGTCTCCCCACTGATCTGCTTCTCAGGAAACAATGTTTGGGCCATCACTTCCGTGCAGAGTGGGGCTCTCCCATGTGCTCTGGACTTGAAAGGCTCAGATTGGAAGGGCAATGCCCTGCTGGTGGAGGTGTGGATCTGGACTGCTCCTGCTCAGTCAGTCACACCTGGAGGAACGGCAGTCCCCTCTACGGCTCTTCCAGAGGCCTAGCACAACTCCCTGAGGGGAGGCTGCTTCTGGGTGCAGCTGTGTGGCACAGGGCTGCTAGCTGCTGTACAGGGGAATCACCCGGGAGATCTCCCGCCGGCAGATGGGGCACCTCTTGGGCTCTGGCAAGGCGAGATAGCACTCACGGCAGGAACACACGTGGCCACACTCCAGAAAGACACAGGACTTGAAGTTGCTCAGACACACGACACAAGCACTCTTGAGACTCTCCCTGTCCTCCGGCGAGGCTTGGCTCAGCAACTGGGCCTCATGCTCCCGGAACTCCTCCTGCATCTGCTCCAAGCGCAGGCGCTCCTGCCGCTGCAGGTACTGCCTCCGGAGGATAAAGAAGAGCGTGGCACATGTGGCAAAGCCAAACACCAGGGCCAGGATTTTCCAGAGCCTGACGCTTGACTCCTGCCTCTGCAGTAAGCTGTCAAAGTCCTGGCTGCTGAGATAGTACTGCATGCCTTGTTTGGGGGGCTGCAGGCGGACGGAGTTGTTGTCCAGGACCAGTTCTCCAACCCCGGTGAGGGTGGCCCCCACCTTCAGCATCTCCTCTGTCTCCTGGATTCCCTTGGGACGCTCACCACTGATGTAGTGGCCAATGACATCAGTGAAGGACTGGACTGAGGGGTGGTACTTCTCGTACACAGTCTCTAGGCCCAAATCCACTGAATCCAGCGGCTTCAGCACTCGGACGGCCACATCCACACCGTCCTCATGGGGCACCAGATCGAAGGGCACTGTGTTGGTCCTCTGATGAATGATCTTTGAGCAGTCATTCCTAACACAGAAATAACAGAACTGAAGATGAAACAAAGGACAGCAGATGACAAGCACTGAGGCAAGGTCAGAGATCGCTTAAGCACAGGAAGGATCAGAGCAGAAGGAACTTGAGAACACAAGTGAGATCACTAGCAAGACCCCACCACAGGGAGGCTCCATTTCTTAGGCCCTCAGGTAGGATAAGCGAGCAACAACTAGCGGCATGGATCACCTTTATCATTTGTTCCCCTTTGTCTCTGTCAGATAAATAAGACAAGAACCTGGTGGAATCAGATGGAAAAGTGGTACTCCATGGAGTAGCACAAAATTATTTAAAACAATGAAATCATCAGTCTGCAGCAGTGGCTCTCAATCTAACTTAGTGTGTCTAAGAATCCACAGATCCCGGGTTTACCATGCTGCAAATTCTGGCTTGGGGAGGGGGAGGAGGCCTAAGAGTCCTCACGGTGGCAGGCCACCTAGGGGATTCTGACGGAGGCCCGCGGAGCACACCTAGCAATCAGGACACTGCTCTACAACCTGTCTCAGGAGAGCTAAAGACACCGTACCAGCAGCCAGGTCTCAGGGCCTAAGCAGACCGGATGGTGGGTTGTACGAGAGAAAGGACACCTACCAAAGGTGGGTTGTTCTGTTCCACACCATCTTGTGCTCCTGAAGCGTCAGCCGCTGAATCACCCCCTTGCAATTTTCCACAAACTGGCTGTTCAGTGTTTCTTTAACAGATCGCACAGCTCCTAAGTAGAAACAAATCACTTGATTTCAGAAGCACAGTTGTCGGCTGGGGAGATGGCTCAGAAGAATAAGCACTTGCCTGGCAAGCGCAAGAGCCTGAGTTCAATCCCCAGTTCCGCAAAAAAAAAAAAAAAAAAAAAAATGTATGTTCAGAAATACAGTTGTTTTTTTAACCTTGAAATTCTTTTTTTTTTTTTGTTTTGCAGTACTGGGGATTGAACTTGGGGCCTTGTGCTTGCCAGGCAGGTGCTTATGCCACTGAGTTATATCCCTGGCCTGCCATCTCCTTAAGGCAATTCAAAATGTGTCTTCAGTTTCAGTTACATTAATTAATCAAACTCTGCGAAATACCTTACATGGGGAGCACCATTTAAGCCTTATGATAACCTCATAATCCCTAATATAATCAGGACATGAAAGTTTCAATAATCTTTTTAAAATTTTTTATTCATTTTAATGAGAAAAAAAGATAAAATAGCAATGAAAAAGTTTCAAAACAGGTTAGTAGGGCAGTTACAATAATTAATACATTGCATATTGTTGTCTTCGTAGTACTTAGAGGAGTTTCAATAATCTTGCCCAGCAACCCAGGTTTTTTGTTTATTTGTTTTTACTCCAAAGTACCTTCTGAACTATGGCCTCAACAAAATAAAAGGCCTTAATGTTAGCCAAGACAGTTTTTAACAAGCTTCTGGAAGGAGGTTATTTTCCATTTATCACTAAATAAACATACCTTCAATAACAGCATAAGGCACACATTTTCCAGGTGCTTCTGAGAGAATATTCTTTAAATCTTCACCCAAGTGGATTTTCTTAGCTCCCTGAGTGCAAAAAACATATAAAATTGTCCATTGAATACTGACATGCTCATTCAAAAGGGGGGAAAAAAAAAGATTGCTTAATGTTGTAAGAATGAGGACACTGGGCAGGAAAGAGACCACAGAGCATCAGATTTCAAAGTCTGTCTCAGAATTTTTAGCATGTGAACAGGTCAAGGAATTGCTTCAGCCCTCTTACCCTACTGCACAATGCAGCTGCTAATACACTCTATTACCCAGTTAACCAAAACACTCTTTTGATTTGCTTTTTTTTTGTACCAGTAATCAAACTCAGGACCTTGAACTTGCCAGGCAGGTGCTGTGCTGCTCAGCCACTCTCCGAAGTCTGGACTTGTAGGGATCCTCCTGTTTTCAGCCTCCCCAGTGCTGGGATTATAGGCACATGCGACCACTCCCAGACTCAGTGGCTGGCTCAGCACACCCAGGGGCAGGGCCGGCATGGCACTGGAGATAGAACCCAGTCCCTGCGTTGGTCTAAGCAGGTGTTTTAATCTGCTGAGCTATCTGGCTGGCCCCAACACTCTTTTTAATTTGAATATTTTTTACTGAAAATATAAAGGGTACTAGTCAATTTGCATACTGCTAAATAAACATCATTTAATTTCTTTTTGACGACAGCTATGGGGCCAGGGAGATGGCTCAGTAGAATAAGCGCTTGCCTGGCAAGTGCAAGAGCCTGAGTTCAATCCCCGGTACCACCAAAAAAAAAAAAAAACCAGACAGCTATGTCCAAAGAGTTGAGATATAAAGCACCTAATCTCTTGCCTAGTACATGACAGGGGCTCAAAAAATAGCAGGTGCTATTACTACTGTTCCTTATAAAACTGAAGCTCTGCACTGTATGTTATTATAAAGGGGTGCCTTTGCTTTATTAGGGTGAGTCTCTGTTAACTTGTGTCCAACACTGTTCCATTTTTAAATTTTTCTTCCTTCT